TTATGTGAATAGGGAGGAGAAAAAATGTTGAAGGGAGAGGAAGAGAATAGAAAAATGAAGAATCAAGCTATATAGATATATAAACTCCCTGCAATGAATGTGATTGGTATGTACATTAAAAGTGTGCCAATACATTGTTGAATTCTTATCATTTTGCTTAATGAAATTCTGTATCATTTCTAATGTTTTTTTTTTACTATTTTTATTTTCTTTTTAAAAAGTGTGCCAATAAAATCAATTAAGGTAATAATGAATAAACAAACAAGCAAGGAGGCAAGTAATCCTCACTGAGAGCGAGAGTCACACGTGGGAGCAGCAGCCATCGTGGATTTGAGGCCATGGCCCTGGTGGCAGTGCCACAGTGGGTGGGTGGGGGTTCCTGACATCACCAAGGAAAAGCAGGAAGCCAGTGCATCAGGGAGCAAGGAGAGACTGTCACAGGGGGAAGCCAGACAGGAGCCCAGGCCAGAGATGTCAGGCCAGGCACACAATAAGAACCTGGCATTTAGCCTATCTTGTTATGGCCAAGGTGAGGATTAGAGGATTTTCTACTTTATTTATAAAACAATTTATTCTGGCAACTTTAGAGGAGTAAGAGTAGAAGCAAGAAGACCAATTGGGCTATTACAATAATCCAGATGAAAGATGCCAATATCATAAAGCAGAGTAGTTTTTGTAAAAGTTACATGTGGCCAAATGCTACTGAAATTTTAAAGGGAGTCCCAATACGATTGCTTTTTTCTTTTTCTTTTCCTTTTGAAATAGTTTTGCGGTAACAAAAACAGAATATATGGAGATTTCCCATATAACCATCACACAACTCCAGGCAATGTTAACTATACAGCCATCAGGTAAGGTTTCAATCCAAGAAATTAGCATCAGCACAACACCATTGGCTAAATTACAGGCTTTGTGTAATTTCTCCAGTTTTCCCCAATCTTAAATTTGCTTTACAGGATCCCACACTGATGTAAGTAACCATGTCACTATAGTTTGTTCCACTATATGCAGACAGTTCCCCAGTCTTTCCTTGCATCTTATAAACTGGGCACCTTTGATGAGTAACAGTCATCCTGTAAATGTACCCAAATCTTGTTTTAGCTGATGCGGTCTTGTGGCTGGAATTCATGTGGAGAAAGAATCCTACACAATCATGTGGATCTTCAGTATATCATACCAGCCTATATCTAAGTCTTTTCTTGACCAGTGTTATTAAATTGCAATGAAATTTTTTTTGACAGATTAAAAAATGGGAATTGAGAGGAATCAAGAATGAATCAAAAATGACTGAAGTGGTGGACTGTCGGGCAGGACAGCGGAGGACTTCAGTATTCAATCTGGGAATTATAAAGGGTGAGCATGTCTAAAAGATATCAAAATGGTGGTTTCAAGTAGGTATCTATTTGGGGTTCAAAGGGGAAGTATAGCACGAGAAATAAATTCAGGATCAGTAAAAATATGCTTTTCTGAAAAACTAAGGTTAAATATATCTAGCAACAGAGAAAGTAAAGATAGAGAAGTAAAGAATAAGGACTGAATTCTGGGACATTCCAATGTCAGAATGCTTATGAGAAGAAACTGCAAAGAGAGGGTTGGCCAAATAGCTCAGTGGGTTAAAGCATATGCAAGCAGGTGCAGGGGTCAGGAGTTTGATCCCCAGGCCTGCCATGCCAGCCCATCCCTGGGGAGCGCTGAGACAGCAATTGAGACTGGGCATGGTGGTGCGTGCCTGTAAGGAGCTCTTTGGGAGGCTGTAAACAGGTAGATCACAAGTCCTATCTATGCACAGAGACCCTGAAAGCCCTATAAACCTCTCCCTAAAATACAAAACGAAAGAAAGAAAGAAACTGCAAAGAGTATTTAAAAAAAAAAAAAAAAAAAAAACAGCAACCAAAAAAGTGGCTGAAAACCTCATAAGGAATTTTTAATCTTCTCTCCATCTTTACTCCATTGCCTAATTTAGTCCAGTCTCCTTACAATAGTTACCTTCCCCTTTGAGATTCAGTTCCTAGATGAGAAGAATTTGCATTTGTTTGTAATTTATAAACTTGTTACAAGAACTAGAAGAAAACAATACCTATAAGTTTTTTGCATAGTGTTTAGCACATGTTAAATACCAGCTATTATTGTCATAAAATGCTTTGTGCTGCTGGTAGACTGTGACTATTTTAATAGCTGAGACAGTTTTGCTTTCTTTTATTTTGGTACTTAATTCTGCACTTGTATATCATTAAAACCCAAAAAATCATTCTTATTTTTCCCTCTCTTTTTCTCATGTGTGTATGGGTTTCCTGGGATCAAAGCCAGAGTGCTCTATTAACAAAGTACCTCCGAGGATCTTTTATTTTTTTGTCTTGAGATAAGATCTCCCAGGCTATCCTCAAACTTGTGATCCTCCTGCCTCTTCCTCCCAAGTAGCTAGGATTATAAACATGCACCTCTACTCCTAATAATTCTCAAGCAAATACCTAGAAGAAAAACCCTCATAGCACCATTTAACCCAAAAGATTGAATCCTTAAGAAATTCTGAACACAGTGACACTTGGGGTGGAAGATCCATTTTGCCAGAGTGTCTTCCTTGATGCTTCTCAAAGCTTGCTTCTTGAAAGCTCACCATGGTGGCAAGGTTCACTCCTGCATTTTGCATGGAGAAGAGCTGTCCTAGAGCTCAGACTTGCCTTTGTCTGGTACTTCTCTCCATGTACTTATTTTTTAAGAATTTATGGCCAAACATCACTGGCCATTCATGAAATGCAGATTAAAACAACACTGAAATAACATCTCACCCCAGAAGGAATGGCTATCATAAAGAAATCAACCAACAACAAATGTTGGAGAGGCTGTAGGAGAAAAAGAAACCCTTCTCCACTGCTGGTGGGAATGTAGACTGGTGCAACTATTATGGAAATCAGTGTGGAGATGCCTCAAAAAACTAAGACTGGAAATCCCATTCAATCAAGCTATCTCCCTTCTGGGAATTTTCCTGGAGGAACTGAAAGAGTCATATCATAGTGATGTGTATATACCTATGTTTATAGCAGCACAATTTGTGATAGCCAAATCTTGGAAACAACCAAAATGCTCCTCACCTGAGGAATGGATGAAAAAGATGTGGTGATTTTATACAATGGAGTATTACTCAGCTATAAAGAAAAATAAACTCAAAACCTTCATATATAAGTAGATGCAACTTGAAAGTATACTCATAAGTGAAATAAACCAGACCCACATGTGTAGATATCATATTGTCTCCCTAGTGTAAGAACTCAAAAGAAGAAATAAAAATTAAAAGGTATAACACAGTTAAATAAAAAGCAAGAACTTAAGGATTAAACAACAAAGAGAGAAAGGAGAAAAATTAGGAAATATGGCAGGAATAAAACCATACATTTATATAAACAAGATGGTTAAGGCAATGATCCTAAGAATCTGCCATCAGGTTTTTGAAAATACCAGTTAATGGGTAGAATTCTCACCCTGACAAACTCTATATGCTGATATCTGTGAACTAAGCAACTACATTGAGGACAGCAATGTGTAATACTAAAACAATGCTTGAAATACCTATCATTTTGGTCTTCTAAATATGTACTGCTTCTAATGTCAAAACAATTATTGTTGTACTCTCTTTGAAGTAAATATTTGTTTAAAAAAGTAATAAAAGAAAACAAGAGACAAGAAAAAAATGTCATAGGATTGTCCTGCTACAATATTGAATATGGTTTGATTTCTAAGTTTCTGTGTAAAAATGTGTAATTGTTTTGTTTTCACATTCTATAGGGATTTAAAGTTTAGAATATCCATGGTTGTTAGAAAATAGCAGTTCCATGTTATGTCTAAGGTATTCAATATTCAGACAGATAGTGATGTTAAGCTCAACTGCCTCTGTTACAGGGTAATAATATCACTAAACTTCTCTTCTGGATATTTAACAACTAAAGTTTGCAGACCAAAACTTAGAGAAAAAGAGGGGATACAAGGGTAGCCAATATTTTGACCCTAGTCCTTCAAGGTCAGTGAGGACCCAGGACATAAAGAACCTGTGCAATGACATCCTGTAATTCAGTGGCGTCCCAAATTTTCTGATCAAGGAGATTATGGTGCCACAGAGGTAAGTGATCAATGATATATACTGTGCCTATGGAGAGTCACGTACAGAGAAAAAATTCTCTCAGGCTTTCACAGAGAGCAAATTGGTCAAGCAATGACTATGACTCATGCAGATGCTGTACATGGTTTCATGGTAAATCTTGAGGGGATCTGACTCACCTTGTCAGATGCAAAAGTTACATTTTTAGTTATATAAGTCTTATTTTAACTTGGTCTATCATCCAGCAGAAGTGTATAACCATGAGGTATAAAAAATAGAGCCATATTAATATGCTGAGCTGTAAAAGGCTCAAGTCAACAACTTCTAACAATTTCCAGTTCTGCTGATAACCCACTACTATTATGGACTATTGCACTACATTGGGTTATTTTGCTGAATGCAAGTACCTACAGTATTTGAACTGGCATCAAGAATGAAAAGTTTCTTTAAAGGCTTCTCCAAATACAGGTTCTCTAACCATAATGGAACACCCATTTCTGACAAAGCAAAACAAAAAAGGAGGATATAATAAAAGGATCATGTTGTAGTGGGAAAAAATATATATAAGTGTATTAAAAAATAGGATAGATATACAGCTACTTTCTCTTAGCTCAATGAGAAGAAAGATTTGTACTAATATTTTTATATAAGATCTCATGTCTGCATCTTGTCCTCTGAATAGCTACTACAAAGACAACAATATGCAATGTATTAATTATTGTAACATCCTACTAACCTGTTTTGAAACTGTTTCATTGCTATTTTTCTCATTAAAATGAATAAAAAATAAAAGAATTCATGGCCAAATCAATTTTATCCATTAATAATAACATCAAGTTCAGCACCCAACTAATACCCCTAGAATATAAGGCTATGATTAGCTTTGCACAATTTTACTATTTTTCCTTTACTTTGTATTTATAAAAAGTAAAAATGAAGGGCCAAACAAGAGCATTTATTGAGCTCCTTTCTTAACACAGGATGAAGTGATGAGAAATATAAATCAGGATAATGTCTAGTGTTCTATAATTACAAGGGACATGTGCCTACAGGACTGCCTTAATGAAAGCTCTATCCACATTGCAGAGTATTACATTTCATTGCAATTTTATGGAACAAGTATTAAGATCAGCACATTTGAGAACTTACAGAACAGACAGGAACCCAAGGCATTCTGACCTACATGAGTGTTTCTTCCACTGCTCCATGCTAGAAAATGAGGTAGACAATCTGCTGTGAGTAGAAGAAAAGCTCTCAGGTGAACTTTGGGTGGAAATAATCATGAGATTCTGTGCTTACACACAGAGAGGGACTTCTAGACCTTTCTAGCTTTATATTCTTCAGAGAGTCCATTCTGCCACTAACTTAAAGGAAACCACAAGTAGATCATTAAATCAGGCATTCCTACTATGAATATCTGTGTTTTTTTTTTCCTTAGGTCAGTGTTTGGAACCTCACTTATTTTCAATGGTTTCTCCATAACCAGCATCATTACTTCCCCTTGTATAAGGGGACAGGAAGAAAGAATAAAGAAATCAGTAGCAGCAATGTTCAGAGATTCTTGTATTAGGAGTGATAAAACTGGAATTTAACTGGTAAGAATGTTTAATTAATTAATTAATCTTTTTT